ACTAGCAAAGTGGTTTTGATTCACCATTACTTATTTTTCCCTGTAACTTTTCCTTCTCTTAGCTCTGCGTAGACAGTAATGGAGAGTTGTTTAGGATTCTCCAGCTCTTGAGAAGGGTTGTTCACTTGTCTTGCGGGTCTGGATATGACTATGATGATGTTGGATTTGGCTTCTATCATTTGCCCCCACCTTGTTTGGCTGATTGGACAAGCTTGGCATGGCAGATATCGTTATACTTATGGCAGATTTATTACAATAATTGTATTCAACAATCATGAACTGTGGAATTATGAGAACATTTGTGTTTGGATGTCCATTAGAGCATTGAAAAGATTCAAGTGATTTGACTCATGTTAAATTCCTTACATTCATAACCTTTTGCCAGCCTTTGGACACAGGTTCATGTGCTCATTATAGCAGGTACAAAATATGATTGCTACCTCAGGCTAACAGACCCCTCCCCCCAAATAGTTTCTAAAGTTGATCTGTTCTTACCTCTAATGAAGTAGAAAAGATTGTGTGCAACCTTAGAGAACATGGTGTTATTATGTGTTCATTTTAACAACCATAATGTAAAGTTAGATTATTTTATTTCGTTATAATGAATCACATTTTATCCTTAAAAAACAGAGTTTATTAATAAAAATACTTCATATTTTTTTTAACTTTTTCAAATACTCTTGCCTTAATTTTGAATGGAATCACGAGCGACTCAAATAAAATTTTTGAACGTTCAAAAGTAATTTAAACTTTAAGGCGTTTTTCTAAAATTTCTTTGGCTAATTTTTATTTTTAGGAATGAAAATTTTAGAAAACTGAATAATTATTGGTTATTGCTAATAGCTCGTGGCTTTTCACTTGAAAAACTACATCAACTTTTTAGTGTCCATTGACAGATTCCTTATTAAAATGAATTGTCAAATCTATGCTAAGTGATTTTCTTTCTTAATGTCTAAATCTTACTTTTTCAATATTGTTTCTTTGTTTATGTCTCAATCTTATTACTTTTCTTCCATTCCATTTTTTATCTCGAAAACTTAACACTTTTTTCCAGTCTTGTAGCTCAATTGACTAAGACTCGAACTTTTTTTTTTTTTTTTTTTGTCATGCTTATCTTACAATAATAATAAAAAATAAAAAATAAAAAAACCAATTGAATGGATGAACAAGTTTCTATTTAAAATCTAATTTTCGAAAACTTTTAGAGTTTAGGGTTTAGGGATCAAGTAAAAGGTTTCCGTCAAACTCGAGAACCCGGGTCTCTAGAACATGCACTTAGAAGCTCATTTTTAAAAATAAAATCACAAATTTAATATCATGTAGAGAAAGAAAAAAAAAAAAAGAAAAATAAATTAATATACAAGTCCTTGTAAACAATACTATATTCTTCATATAATTATGAAATGATGAAAACATCAACATTTGTTGTAATATTTTTGGATATATGTGCATAAAACATATGTTGATAAGGAAAAAAAATGAAAATTGTATAAACATAATTCAAGGCTTCTCATTTTGTGTATAAACATAATCCAAGTGTGCTTCTAACATCATCCTTCTCTTCTCCCATTCTTCATCTTCTTCTTCTTCTTCTCTTATTATCTACAAATGAAAGGGAAATCCGCCATTAAAATCCAAAGAAGAAAGCTTAAAAGAAGAGATGATGGGTACTTACTTGGGGGAAATCTGGCCATGAATCTGCTTGGATCATTCCATGGCTGAGCTTGTTGTGGGTTTCTTCAAAACCTGCAAATTTTCCGGGAAAGAGAAGGAAAAGGTGAGAAAATGGAAGGTGGAAGTGAAAAAGGAAGGGTTTTTTGAAGTGGGTTTACCTTGTTTGGTTGGTAGGAAACGTGCAGTGGCTGATTGGGAAAGGAGGAGGAAAATGAAGAAGTAGAAGAAGGAGGAGAAGCCATGGGAGCTCTGGTTCATTTTCTTTAGTGTTTTGATGATGAAGAAGAAGAAGGCTAGCAAAGAGAGAGGGATTGTGTCTATGTTGCCTTTTTCAAGTCACATGGAGACACCCAAACAAGGCAGTTATGGGCTTAAAATATGCCAATAATGCTACAAATTCCAATACTTTTGGTGGGCCATGCCCACTTTAGCTCGGTAAGATTTCAAGTTCACAGCTAATAGATATTGTCCATTTTGATCCATTACATTATTGACGTCAGTCAGGTTTCCATACCCTATAAGAAATGTTTCATTCTCTTCTCTAACCGATGTTTGATTTCACAATTCACCCTCCTTGGGGGTCATTGTCCTCGCTGGCACACCATCTGATGAGTGACTCTAGTACCATTTGTAACCTTTCAAACTCATCACTAGTAGATGTCATCTGCTTTGGCCCATTACATTTCGTCGTCAGCCTCACGATTTTAGAATATGTTTACTATGGAGAGGGTCTAGCCCTACTCCGATTAGTGTCTTGCACTGTCTGGTGACTGACTTTGATACCATTTATAACAGTCTAAGCTCACTATTAGTAGATATTATATGTTTTAGCTTGTTATGTATTGTCGTCAGTCTCATGATTTTTAAACATGTCTGCTAAGGAGAGATTTCTACACTCTTATAAGGAATGATCTCACAATGTCATAAATGGTATCAAAACCAAACATTAAGCAGTGTGCAAATGAGAACACTAGACCTTCAAAGGGGATGGATTTTGAGATCTCACATCAGTCGAAGAGAGAAACGAAACATTTCTTATAAGGGTGTAGAAACCTCTTCCAAGTAGATGCATTTTAAAATCGTGAGGCTAATGATGCTACGTAACGGACCAAAGCATACAATATCTACTAATGGTGAGCTTATATTGTTATCATTCATTCAAATAAAATATCTACTTATAGGTTAAATATAATAAAAAAAAAAATATAAAAACAATAAAAATACATGACAAGGCAAAAAAAAAAAAAAAAAAATATGCTTTGTTTTAAAGTAAGGGAAAAAAGATGGTTACTTTTATGATCTTTTTTTAGGGTTTCATGTAAACCTCACGACCAAGGGAAACCAAAAAAGAGGTTTTTTTAAAAAAATTTATTATTATTATTATTATTTTTTGGATTATATATTCATTTGTTTATTAAATGCTGCTTATTCACCATTCATCCGTTTTTGGGTGAGCATTCTCACTGGCATACGGTTCGGTGTCTAACTCTAATATCATTTGTAACAGTCAAATCCATTGCAAGCAGATATTATCTGCTTTACCCTGTTATGTATCGTCTCAGTTTTAGATAAACATAATTAAAAAAAAATAATAATAATAAAATAAGGAAGTTGTTGGAGAAGTCAAACCTTAGGGGACTGCCATGGACGACAGTTGTCGGCATGGCCAAAACCAGACAAGCTTTCTCTCTCCTCATTGTTTATTTGTTTCTCTCTCTAATCTTTCAGAGATGCACGTGACAAACAGTTTCCAAACACTTCAATACTCAAATCCGAATTTGATTCTTTCTTTCACTCATAAACAAATCAAATCCATCACAATTTCTAACCCTAAAACCACCTCCAAATATCCTAAAATTACGAGTTTAGTTTATCAAAATTTAAACGGCATCCGTTAGGGTCCGACACTCAACAAATCAAACCACGAGACTCCGAGTGCTTAATAACCATAGAAACCACACTAACATAAGCATCAAAGCGTGTTAGAAATAATATTACATTACTTATATTAAGAGCGAATATTTATGATGAGATTTTAAACGTTTAAAATTCACATATTTCTTTAATTTTGTTCTCATTCGAAATGACCAAAAATCGCGTATTACAGCTTAGCTTATCGCAATGTCGATATGACAATAACTTTTAAACGGTAGTAATTTTGTTGAACCACTTTTAAATTATGTAAATTAATAAAATAAATATTTTTATTTAATTAAAAATAGATATTATATTGGAAATAAAGAATAGGGCGGAGAAAAATGGGGAAGGCTCTGGAAAAAGTGAGATTCGGAGGATCTGATTTTTAGCAATTGTCCAAATAATTTTGATGGGAGTGCTGTCTATTTCAGTCCTTTTTGTTGTGCTAAATTCTAATTTTAACCCTATTTTTTTTATAATTTATTTTTATTACTTAATTGGATTATTATGTATTAATATTGAAAATTTCAGCGTTTTAAAATGATTTATTTAAAATTTTAAATGATCCAAATTAGATAAAAAAAAAAAATAATAATAATAAATCGTCACTTTCTTATTATCGTTATTTTATATAATTATCAAAATAGATGCAATAAGTTATGTTGATTGGGCCGAAGAAGAACGAAAGGCCCAGTGTTGCTTTGTGGACAACAGCCTTTCGGTTTGGGCCTTAATGGGCCTTACTTTGACTGGGCCGAAGTGTTCTGGCTTCTTTTTATTATTATTATTATTATTATTATTATACTATATATATATACCTTTTAGATTTAAAAAATGCGTAAGCCAATTTTTATTTATTTTATTACACGATTTTATAATTGAATTTAGACAAAAATGCCCTTATGTCCTATTTTCTTTATTTTCTTCTCCTCAAATTTTATTTTATTTGATTGAGTTTATTGTTGTGGTTTATTTTATCTAATATCTTTGGAGTAAAAAGTTTTAAAATTTTAAATAATAAAAAGATTATTTAATTAAATTTCGAGCTTATAAACAAAGGAGACAGGTAATTGAGGTGACAATTGTTATGGACGCACAACAATTATTGAAGTGATTTTATCTATCGAGACTTTGAGAAGATAGAGGAGGAGACGAAAGAAGATGGAGTTGAATTTTGGTATGGCCATCAACTTTAAATGATAAAGGGTAAAATTGTCTTTTCATTCTATGGTCAAAGTCAAAGGGTGCAAAAATGTTTTTAATTTTTTAAATGAGCTATTTTTCCAAAACTTAAGCTTTTGGGAGTCATTTTTGGAAATCACTATGTCCACGTTATTTTTCTTTAGAAAAATAAAAAGAAAATACCCAGCGCGCTGTGTAAATAGAAAAAAAATAAATAAATAAAAGAAAGAGGAAACCCTAAACCCTTCTTCTTCTTTTACAAACCGTCTACCCTCCCGTTGGGCAGCTCGGTGTCGCCGACGCCTCTCTCCCGTTCGCCGTCTTTCTTTCGCTCGTGCGCCACAGTCTCCCTCCTAGCGCGTTTAATCTGCACTGATTTTCTACTTTCTTTACTGGTAATCTCCCGATCTCCATCTATGCCTTTCTTCTCACTTGAAAAACACAAATTAGAACTTGTCTAATGATAGGATGGAGGAGTTGTTTTCATTAATTCATTTGTTTCTCAACAATTTCCGAATAGCAATGGAAAGAAAAAACAGCTTTACGGCAAATTGAGACTTTTCGAAGTGTTGCAAGTCCTATTAAACTTGCAACTTATCATTATATAAATCTGCGTTTTTAGTTAAAATTTAAGTACGCAGAGCGAGTTTCGCATGGTGTGGATGTATGTTAAATTTCGGGAATTGTTAGCTTTCTTAGCTGAGTTTTTTCTATGTTTTCAGTCGCCCTTCTGAACATATAAGGGACGGTTTATTTGATTTTCTCTTTCCGGTGCATTTTGTTGCAGGAAATTTAGGCTTGCTATTTGTTCAAGAAAAGAATGAGGTTAGAGAAGTGTTGGTTCTGTTCCTCCACTGTATATCCAGGACATGGTATTCAGTTTGTTCGCAATGATGCGAAGGTAAGCGTGTAATGTTGTTTTTCTTTTCTTAAAGGCGGAAAACTTTCATGTTTTGGGCTGCTCGTATTTTCTCGAGTTAAAATTTTCTTTTAGTTGCCAATCTCGTGTAATGCTTACGGAATGGTATGAAAATACCTTCCTATTCTATCTCGGCTTGTTCGTGGTCCATTGTTTGCTATGCATATTAGCCTGTAGAAATAGATTTTTGTTCTTGTGGAGCTTTTACATTAGTGATAGTGCGGAACCCCATGTTCCTGATATAATTTTTCTAAAGATTTTTAGATTTTGTCGGTCTAAATGCCACAAGAACTTCAAGATGAAGAGAAATCCCCGTAAAGTTAAATGGACTAAGGCATACAGGAGGTTGCATGGAAAGGATATGACACAGGTAAACCTTCTCGATTAAATTTAGGAACAAGTTGTTTTGCAACTACAAACTTTCTGATGTCTCTTTAACTGTTGTTTCACATGTATTATCCAGGATTCAACTTTTGAGTTTGAGAGGAAGCGCAATAGGCCGGAGAGATACGACAGGAATCTCACAGAAGAGACATTGAGGGCTATTAAGAAGATCGACAAAGTCAGAGCCGAAAGGGAGGCAAGGCACATTGCACGCAGGTATTAAACTTCTTCCATTGCCACTCGTTTTATGCCTATATGTTTGTTGAATACTGCTAGAGGTGTAATTCGGGATTGTTGACATTTACAGGATGAAAGGAAAGAAAGGAAAGGAGCTCAAAGAGGCAAGGAAGGAATTGGAGCAGAGCATCAGTATGGTCAAACCACCTGCTCTTCTCAAGGAGGATCCTTCCCTCACTCTTCCAAAAATCCAAGTCAAGGTGGCACAATCACAAGCAGAGAAAAATCAGCCTATGGAAGAATGAGTTTGTTTCTCTCTTATGTCACTATATCAAATATTTTTGTCATAATTATTTTTTCTCATAGCTTTAACTGCCACAATTCTTGTGCACGACAATGCGCGGTAGTTCATCCTTGTCTGTCCTACACGAGCATGGCTGTTATGTTGACGTTCTTTTGAGAGTGTTTTTCTTTAAATACAGATACTTATGAAAGATTTTCTTGAATCATCTCTTGCCACTGTTTTTATTTGTATTTTTGCATATTTCTTTAGATTACATCATAATGGAGATCATTCTTTAGATTGATTATAGGTGGTGATGACTAACAGGAGTTCATCCCACCCACTGGTTTTAGTTTCCATGAGTGCTTTTGCCTGTGAGGAGAAAGCCCATAAGCCTCTTGCTCGTTCCTCTAATTGCAAAGAAACTAGCCCACACCAACCGTGTGAGCTCCCATACCGGTTGGGGAGGAGAACAAAGCATTCTTTAGAAAGGTGTGGAAACTTCTCTCAAGCATACGTGTTTTAAAAACCTTGGAAACCTCTCCCTAGCATGACGCGTTTTAAAAACCCTGAGAGGAAGCCTGAAAAGGGAAAGCCTAGAGAGGACAATATCTGCAAGCGGTGGGCTTGAGCCGTTACAAACAAGTCTCCTCTAAACTTCTCTCTCTATTTTGCACAGTTCTGATCACCATAGTTAGACATGAAATTTTGACCATAGATAGATACTTCCATCTCCTCCAATCATCTCCTTGGAGTTACACGCTTTTGGGCAAGAATACTTATCCAATCATGTCCTTTAGCTTCATTGATTCTTGCTTAAATCTGTTTTTGGATCTTCTACTTGAGTTTTTCGACCATTGGAGTGCTCTAAACAAGGGTTTCAAATTGTTAGGATCCAACTGGTTCTGGTATGTATCTTTTAGCCCTTCCTCTTCAACATTCATCTTGGCTTAAACTTTCTTATAAGAATCATGCAATAAGGCTACAACATTTTCATATCTCTTCACTACCTATTCAGGATTTGATTTCCTTTGAAGATATCTTTGCCACTAAACGTATTAGGGTTAGACAATTGTTCCATGTGAGTAGTCAAGTTTGGTCCAGACACTCACAAATATCAACAATGTAAAGAACAACACTTCTTCCAATAGGATCCATCTTCTTGCCAAGGTTGGAAAGTTGGGGTTTCCTTTATGACTCTTACATGTACATGAATGTCTTTTCCCTCAGGATCTCACTGATATCTGGGTGTTAAAATGCTCCATTTTCTCGAACCATCTCTACATTTCCACCATTTTTTAGAAGTCAAGATCTATGCTTAGAAATTGGCCTTGTACACACAATGGTAAGTAGGAATGCAGGATTACATATTAGGATGACTTTAAGTTCATGAACTTAGTCTTATACTTCTCTGTGGAGCAATGAAAGAAGACTTCCATCTCCAAGCAAAAATGGCTTACTAATATGCCTGAAAATATTATTTAATTAATAAAAAAAAACACTTAGAATATTGAAAAGAAAAATCCCCACCATTTCCCCAATATCAGTATTATGTGCCCCGGGAGACTTGAGATATTTTGATCTTCATTTAAATATTAGATTTATGAAGTTTGACTTTTGCATTTTAGGCCAACTATATTTTAAAATGTCAACCATTTGAATTATTTTATTTTATTTTTATTTTGAAGAAACAAGTCGGTTTAATATGTTATATAAAGAAAAGAAGTGTGATGTAATGTCAAATGTGAAGGATAATGTCATAACTTTATGAGTCTAAAGTCTTATGCTTAATAGATCGGATCTAAATGTTGGCTATGTAAGCATCTTGTAGTAAGAGGAGTAGTTATGAACTCTGAACCCGAGTAGTTATGAACCCTAAACTATGTAGACCATTCCTATGGGGGTGGTGAAGAGAGGGCCTCAACTGGTAGAAAAAACCCGTAACCCCTTGAGTAGAGAAAATAGAATTTTGAATATGTTAAGACATTATCTATAAAATTAAAAGTTCAAGGATCTATTAGATATTTTAAAAGTTTAGAAAAAAATTAATGGACCTAGTAGCAACTTTTTAAGATTTAAGGACTCATATATCTTTCTAAATATATAATTTTTTAATAAATTTTAATTATAAAAAGTAAGTAGTATTTAATGGATTCTAAAGTTTATAGGTAATGATGATGTCACATTGCTATATGTATTTTGATACCAATAAGTAATATACGTCATAAGACTACGTTACAATATATTTTATTAATTAAGTTGAAAGTATTTGAGTTTAATTTAATGAGTTAGACTATAGACATAGATTTACAAACTTATCCGACACATAATATCTTGTTATTTTATTCAACAAAAAATAATAATAAATTAAAAAAAATTAAATGAAGCTAATTTTACCTGGATATTACAAAATCTATATTTTTATTTCTGAAATTAACCTCTCATACAAAATTATTAATAAAATTAAGACATTTTTATTTGTTTTTGTTTTTTTTTTTCATTTGGATATATTAATTTCTATTAAATATATTTTAATTATTAATTACATAGTTATATAAAATTAGATAAATATACATGAGATTTTATTTAGTTTCATATTTGGTATGTCATGAAAAAAAGAACTAGAGATTGGGTCAAACTTTTCTTTCATTGGATAAACATAAAAGCTACGGCCTTTTTCAATAGTAAAAAAAAAAAAAAAAAAAAAAA